TTAGAGTAGCAATATAAAAAGTTTACAAAATTTTATGAGAAAGATTCTATAAAATAATTTAATTGAATTTTGTAAGAATTTAAATAATTTGAGATATGTGAAATTTTTAATTGATATATACGGAAACAAAAATTGAAATTATAAAAGTACTTTATAAAGCAAAATAGTCTTTTATATAAAATATTAAACTATTTAATGTTAAACTGCTGCTTATCTTAGGGTAACTGAGCTCTACTAGCTTACGCTAATATATCGCATATAATTGTTTCTGTATATTGAACAAAATATTTCTATTTTTATTGTTGATTTCCAATATAAAATCTTTATATTAATTTCATATATCTAAAATGCATTGTATACTCTGAGGAGTTATACTCCTATCGTAATTCTTTTATAACACTTAAATTTTCTTATATTTATTACGCTGTCTGTTTAATTTAAATAGATTTAAATTTTTCCTTGTTCTTCTTACATCTCACCACTCAAGTGTTCTTTAATTAATCATTTGCCAGTTTCAGGAAAATTATCACAACCTTTCTATTTTAGATTGTATATAATGTAAATCTCTTATATTTCGTTCAAATTTGTTTGTATTCGTACGTACATTTATTACCGGTCTTTATAAGTTAAAGAGGCCCACCTTGATCGCCTTTATTAATTTAGTTAATCACATATTCTTCTACAATGCTTCTACAATGTAATTTTCATAATAAAGCACAAAGTATAAAGTATTTTATTTCAAATTAATAAAGTCCTAAAAATTATATATTCCACTGTAGATCTCAGTTGTTTGATTTTTTTGTGTTATTTTTTTTTATGTATGTATATTCATAGTACAGTTAATAATTCGTACCTTATAAAAATCAACTACCTATTATAAAGGTTTTTTTATTTTTTGCTGCTACATTAAGCAAACTAAACTCTGTCAATTAAGACACGAAAAAAAATGAACACAATAAAATGATATTTACTAGGAAAACTGGAGCAATAATAAGTAGTAAAAGAAACGGTAAAAAACCTATAAATAAAAAAAAAAACAAAACCTAGCAGATTTAATAAAGAAAAAAAATCATAAAAAAAAAAAACACAGAATTTTTTTTTATTTTGAAAGTATCTTGGATCTTTGTTATTTTTTGTTTTGTTGTTGTTTTTGTGTATATACTTTATGAACAAGAGCACGCTTTTAGAATATCGACATTTGTTGAGGTTGAGGTTATTGTTTGTGTGTTCCTACCTAACATTATACATACATATATATTTTTTTCATTATTTATAGGAAGTCTCAAATCTTTTTTTTTTCTATAATGTTTAATAATGGTTAATAGTACCTTTATATAGAAAAGGGTATAAGACAGTAAGGAAAAAAAAAATAGTAAGACAATTTCGGCTTGAGTGAATTTTAACTGCAAGGGAATTCCACTGGTTATTTTATTGCTTTATTTCTGTATTTTGTTCTTGTGATTTGTTTTTTTATTTTCCAATTTTCTTTGAGTTCGGATATTTTTTTCTGGATTTTTTTTTTTCTTTTATTTTTATAAGTGAACCATTAAAAGCGCACATTTTTCAAATAGGTACCAAAACAGTAACAGAAAAAAAAATTTAAAGAAGGAAAAAAAAGATGAGGCATTTTTATTGTCTAACGTAAATAAATTCGGATTAAGCTAAAACAAACGTTATGCTAAGTAAGCAATTTTTCCTTGAATAAATCTTCTACTAAAATCGTTAAGAAATTATAAGAAATTATTGCATACTTTTCGGTGAAAAATTAAAAATTAAAAAGAAGCGTTAATAAAAGAATTTAATACGACAATTTAATTAATATTTCTGTAAATTAAAAAAAATAATCATAATTTTTGGTGTCAAGAAATTTATTTTTTGCTTGCTGGTTTTAAGGAATTGTGAAAAAGTTTATACAGTTTCGGCAATATAACGTACTGGAAATTGAAATGTTTGCTAATTTTGAGAGTCTATGTAAAAAACAAAATTCTTGTAACAAAATTAATTGTTAATTACCGTTTATAATAGTTGCTTATATTTCAGATTTCTGAAATCTGACTTTTAAGATGAAAATTACATTAAAAATCTGAAAAAAAAATAGGTTTAAGATAACCTTTATTTTCATTGGGGTATAGAAGAAGTATGACGCCAATATTAGCATTTAAATGTCCACGTTTTGGTTTCGGTAAAATAAATGGTTAAAATAAATGGTATTTCTAAGATTTTAAGGTGCAATAATTTCTATGTTTCTAAGTGAAGGGTGCGGTGAGATACAGGTGGACAAAAATTTTCTTCTAAAAGAATAAATTTCTAGTATCTAGCACAGAAATTTTGTAAACAGATACACTAAAAGACAGACCTATGGACGGACAGATTAAAGTCCTATTATTTCAAATTTTCCTCAAAAAGTACTAAAAAAAATTGAATATGAAAGATACTTCTTGGGTCTGCATTGCTTTACTTTTTAAATTTATTTTGAGCCTTTGCTTCTTTTGGTGCTTTTTTTTATAATTTTTTGCTCATTTTATTACTATTAAATTTTATTTTGTGTTTTTTTTTTATACTAGAAAAGTCAACTATAGAGTAACTGTGCACGTGCTTAATTTAAAAGAACAGATAGACAAAAAAAAAAAAACAAAACAATAATGCAGCTGAAATTTTTAATGTAGGACTTTTGCAAGTGCTTTTTTGTATTCAATGTTGGTATACACCTGGCAAAAATATTTTTGATCAGCTCCAAATCATAATAGGAAAAGTTATAGATATTTTAGTTTTCATATAAACTATTTGTAATATATATAGGGAGTACATACATACGTTAGGTGTATAGGGAAAGGATAGTAAAAAACCGTTTAAAATTTAGTAAAAAAAAAATTGGGAAAAAAAGGGAGCAAAATAGAGAAAATTTAATTTTTCATTTTGTTTTTGTTTTTTTTTTTTTGTATTTTTATATTTTGCTTTTAAACAGGATTTGACATTCTTATGCTGTGTAGGCCATAGATTTGTTTTCGACAAAGTATACATAGATAAAATTTTCATTTTAATTTAAAATTTATTTTTTGAAAATTTGCTTGATTTATAATTGAATATTGTTAAGCAGAGATTTCAGTAAAAATGTTCGACCTTAGTTAAGATTTTAATAATATTTTGATATTAATAATTTGTGAAGAAAGAAGATGAAGAAGAAGAAGAAGACGGTATACCATGAAATTTAATAATAGAAAATAATTTTTTTAAATTAAATTAAATTTAAGGTTCTCCTTATAACTGCGTTTACAATAATTTTAGAAAGGTGATAAAGGTTTATAGAGCATCAAAATATTAAAGTTATAATTTTTATTTTTAGTTTGAAAATTTGTAATAGAAAATTGGATATTTATTAGAGAAAAGCACCAACTTTAAATAAGCCAAGAATAGAAGAATCTTAAAATCATAGAAAATATTTTTCACTTTAAAACGAATTAAAATATGTGGTCCAATTAAAATATTAGAAACTAGAGCACAAGTATAAAATATAATTGTCGTGTTTTTGATTGGTAAAAATAAGTTTTTTGTTCATGAATTAATTTTTGCCGTAATACAATAATGTAATCTAAATTTTAGTTTCTTATAGAAAAAGATGTAAAAGTTAAGCAGAGAAGATTTAAATATACAATTACTGAAGATGATGTGGAACTGAACTCGCTATAATACAAATTTATTTTAGAGGAGTGTATGTTGGTAAATGTGTCCTCGGGATTGAGGAGGAGCAGCAAGCAATTAGTCATATAATTCCATTACCTATCACACTTTGTTTCCGATTTCATATTGTACTCTAATGTGTAAAATCAAATTAAGCGTCATTTTAATTTTATGTATATTTTGTAATGACCCACATTAATATCTATATAATGACCTACATATTATTTACAAAATTTGTTTGCACATTTTTAACTATACGAACTTTAGTTTCTTTAATTTTTTGTTAATTCTTTATTTTTTTTTGTGTTTAAAGTTACCATTTTTATTACTACGAGTTCAACTGAAATAATTTATTCAACAAATTATTTATTTAAATTTTAATTACATATTATGTACATACATACGTAGGTATTTTTCATAAATATTTAATAGAAAATTAATTCCATACATAAGAAAAAATTGCATACGTAACGGCGTAACACCATATTTAAAAAGTTAATAAAGAAAAATGTATACTAATATAGAATTATATAAAGTGTAATACGTATATAAAAATTTATTATAACAAAGTATATAATTAAAAAAATATAATTAAATAAATTTCAATACACGCAACAATGTATCATATATATATATGTATATTAAGTGTATGTGTGTGTGTATTTATGGTCATATGATCAATAAATTCAATATAAATGCTATATATATAATATATTTTTACGGAAATTTTCCTTCGATATTTATTCTCTTTCACCTATATAATTTAATTTTCTATTGAATACAATTTAATGCACATAAATTTTGTATAATAGTTTTTTTAGTTGCGAATAATATATTCGGACGTTATCTTAAATTTATCTACGATATTTATTATATTTTTAATATACTCAATTTAATTGCATATTTATAATTGTATGCATCATAAATATTATATACTATTTATGTTGTACATATACATATGTGTATAACATTTATGTGTTCAAATGTGTAATTATTAACTCTGTAATTAAAGTTGGATTTTTTTCTTTTTTGCATCATGTGTCTAAATATCTATACCATTAAGTCAATAAAAATAATCGATGGCATACACTCAGCATAGATGGGAATGAATGTTTTGTATATTACATATATATATATATATTTTTTAGTTGAATGTTTTATTTGGGAAAATTTATGTAGGTGTACATAATATAATTTTACTCATAAATGTTTTTTTTTTTTTCTTTAATATTCTTTTTTCTTCATAATTATATTGTGTAGGATTCAACATTATACATAATGTATGATTGTATATAGAATTTAAGTATATGATTAATATAAGTTTATATAAAATTACTGCAATGATACATCCGATTCATTTTTAGTATATCACCTTTGGTGGCATATCCTAATTGACCCAATTTTATTTCATTTGTGGGTTGTCCTTTTCTCTAAAAATAAAAATATTTTAATTTGACAACTATGAATTACAAATTTTAACAAAAGTGACATCTTACATACATATAATATCTAATACATACATAATCAGTTGTGGAATGCAAATCAGATGAAAAATAAATCAATAGTGTTTTATAGAAATCTTAATAGCTATTCTTGGAAAAGCTTATTATCAAAAAAAATGGTTATTTTATTAAAAAATTAGAATTTTCTTAAAATAGCAAGCATGGATCTATGAATGCGAATCAATTAAATTAAAACTAAATCAAACCGAAATACCCGTATTAAAATGATACCTGGCAAAAGACTTCTATTAATTTCATTATAGAGTTTTGGTCCTATGTTGCTATAGTTGCCTTAATGAAATTTGAATAATACTTTTGAAATTTTTTAAGTACCAGTAAATTGGTAAGCCTAAGTGCTGAAGTTGTTAAGATATGATTAAATTATTTTTAAAATTATGTGGCAGCTCGTCAAATTGTTGGCCTTAGTGTAGTTAAGGCATTAACTTTACGGAGTTATAGTATATGGCAACCTCCACAGGGTTGATACCCTTACTATGCTATAATTTTTTGAAAATTTTCTAAATAGTCTAACTTAATGCATTTTCGAGTTACCACTTGCGTTTTAATTAATCGAGTATATTGCAAAATTATCTACGTTAGATGAGGTAACCGTATTATTATAGTTATATTTAATATTTACCTGTTTTATTCTCATTGTTTCATTTTTACCAGATTTTCTAAATGCAGTTGCACCATAATGCATTAAACTATTATAATCATATTCAATGTCATAAGAATCAGCTAAAATTTTTGGTATTTTAATAAAATTTCTTTTTTGATTATCTTTAATATTATTCCATAATATATCAATATATTCATCTCTATCCCAACGGCATTGTTCATGAAATATTCCCATAACATGCATAGTTTCATGTTGTATCGCTTCTGGTAATTTAATACAATAATCATTAAATACAACTTCATGCGGTCTAGATTTCAATTTATTATAACCGACCATTGTACCACATCCTTCACCTGGTTTATAAAATACATATTCTTTATGTTCATCTTGTTTTGGTATAACTTGTATACATGTTTTTTCATTAAAAAATTTTAAAGCATTTATAATTGTATCACGTTCAGATTCTTTAAATTCATTTGATATTTCATATGGTATTATACCACGTGGCCATTTAAGTGTATCTTGTTTAAATGCATTCCGTCCCTGTCCTATTGAATCCATATCTTCCGGATATTCGATATATGTTTCAAAATAATCATTTTCATTTACATCATTAGATGCAGCAATTCCAATAATTGATATTTTTTTAAAAATTTCATTTTGAGAAATCAATGATATATAAAAGAACAGAATGAAATTAAATAACATTTTTAAAAGAAAATATTTAAATTTTTTAAATATCATTTTTTATTAATTGAATTTTTTTTATATAATATGCAGTTATTTCTGTTTGAAATACACGTACGGAAATGTGTTGGAATTTTAAAAGAACAACTGTTATATAAATGCGGCAACTTCATTTTTAATATAAACAAATGCGAAATTTTAATTGGGTTAACTATTTTAGAGGTTGGAATTTCATAGGGTGATAAGTAATGCAGTACGCGCGAGCATGTAATTAAATGATAATAGAAATTTTATAATTAAATGAAAATATTTAAGGTTTGTGAAATTGCAAAGAGTATATAGATAACAAAGTTTTTGATTTTTATATAAAAATATTTTATATAATAGCAGAATGGTTCTTAATTTAACAGAAAATGTAATTAATGTTGTTGTTTTAATTAAAAGTATTGCATATTTGCAATTTTATTTAATTCTGTTGTATGAATATAAATTCAGTCTGTTTTTTAGTTTTCTATTGTACCTCATATTACAATATTATGGAATTCACAATGAGAATGAATTTGGAGTAAAATCCCAAAGGTTTGTAAAGTAGCAGATTTCTTTAAACAATTCAAGTTAATAGAAAAATTTTTGAAGTTATCCTCCTATTACGTTTTTTGTCTGGTGATTTGACTTAATCATGTTATTTTAATGCTGAGGGTCATAGCTCTTTTCCCTGCCACAAATCCAGAATTCTACATTAAATATAAAGCAATTAAAAGTCATGAGGGCCAATTTGATAACATTTCATATCTAATATTAAATTATTTTTAATACATGATTTTTTTTAAATGTACATAAGTAAGTACAAACAAACAATAACCTTTGGTGCAGTTGTTTGTTTTATTTTTTGAAAATTTCTTAATAAAATTTTCAATTTCAGAAACCAATTTGAGAACAAATGGATGACGTAGCCAAGTAAGGACAGTTTTATTATTAAATGTTTGTAGATAGCAAAATTTTTAAATGGTTATTGTAAAACATATTTCAACAAGCTGCGGATTGAACTATTAAAATAACAGCACTATTATAAGGTTTGTTGCTAAATCTATATTTTTCGGTATTGAATTTAGCACAATAAACACTCTGAAAAATCGATTTGCGAGCAACAACGAAAACGTAAGAGCTTTGGAGATACTGATGCAGGACATCGAAACAAAATATTAAATATAGGGAAATATATTGCACTTCCACCAAAATATTTGAAAATGAAATTAATTAATTTGAACTGTTGCGGTATTATACTAAGAGTGCGATATGTGTAAGAATTTTATTGCAGAAACCAATTTCCAAACATATGGATGAAATAACTAATGAAACGAGTCAAGGCAAATTTATTACAATATTTTTTTTGTGAATAGCAAAACATTCAAATGGCTCTAATGAAAAGTAAAAATTTTAGACTTGTAACTTATATTCTAACTTATGATTCGGACATATTCCGCGAAGTTATAGTTTAAAATAGTTTTTTTTCGAAAAAACATCTGTGTATCTAAGAATATGGATCTATTTCGTTCTCCTTTTTGAGATTTTCAGCAAAACTTAAACATTATAACAATAACACATTTTTAAAACTGTAAACTTTTATACTAACAACGATTAAGTGAAACATTTTATGTAATTGCAGTAAAATGAACTAAATTTAATAGCAGAAAAGAAAACCTTAAAATTGAATACAGAAATGCACCTTACTTTAACCTACAATCGTTTATGTATCAACTTAAATAAAATTAAATATATAAAATATACATTAAACTTTGAATTGCTGCTTATATTAATTATTTTCAGACAAAATGAAAAATTATATTAATTATTCTAGACATGTATATGTAAATGCAGTTGTTCCAATTTAACTTGACCAAAACATAATATTAAATTTAATTTCAACAAGAAAAAACCAAATTTCAAAAAGCACCTATTTTTTTAAATATAGAAGATAAAATCCTTGTTTTGTCATAATTTAACAACAGCATTAGATTATTTGATTAAATTAACATGTCAGCTATATACATACATATATATATTTTAAATCTAAGATAGCTATACATAAATAAAAAATTTTTTGAATGAAAATTATTATTTTAATGTAAATTTTTAATATTATTGTATAAAAGTTTTCTTTCTTATAAAATTTTGTTAAAAAAAGATTGCCCACAATAAAGAGATGCGATTTTGCTTTGTCACATTTTTAATCCTATACAATACTGCACGTTAAATTATTACACTTATCACACCCCGTTAACAATACCGCAACAGCTCAAAATAGTTTATTTCTCAACTCAAAATATTTCTCTACATTTTGTCTTTAGGATCTTTGAGAATGTCTCAAAAACTGTGTGTTTGTTAACAATTTTTTTAAAAATCCTATTTTGTTAAATTTTTGAGAATACCATTTTGTTGGTAATTCAATACCGCAGGCCGTAACTTATAAAAATATTGTGTACGTTTTCTAGTAAACAAGTTGCATGAAAAAACAAAGTAATATGTAATTTAGTGTAGCAGCATTTCAATATTGTAATATTGCAACATTGTATCATAAACAAATATCACAAACAAAAATTTAAAATTTGAGCCACAATAATTCGAAATGTTACAGTATAACATTTATTAAATTAAAATCTGTCTTTTATGAATTTAGCAGAATAAAATGAGATAGTTTGGTTTTAAAACTCTCATACAAAAATCTCATAACTTTAAACTTAACTTGCTCGAAACTATAGAATCAGAGATAATGCGGTATTATTCTTTGTGTGCCAAATAGTGTTATACGAATACATAATATGTATAATTTTATATAGTCGCAATATATACACAATATGTACATTACAAAGCAAGTGTACTTACCTTTTAATTTTCATCTCTCTCTCTTTTTTTTATAAAAAAAAAAATTTATAATTTACTATTATAGCTTAGAGCTTAAATCAGCATTGTTGTAAGAAGCTTTATTCCATGTTAATGAATTGCATACATTTTTTTTTCTTTTGGTATTTTTTCTTTATCTCTTTACAAATTTCATTTTAACGATCATAATAGTAATACAAAATATTAATATATTTATGTATATATATAATAGGTATATACTGTACAAAATACATTAGATGTTGACTTAAAAAGTAAAGAAATTTAATGTTAAATTTTTGTTATTTGTTCATATAAAATTTTTAATTCACCTTTATGCAAATTATGTTTTCAAATTTGTGTTCTTTGTGTTAGATAAGTATATATTGTGTTGCGAATCTGCTATTAATAATACAATCATTACAAAAATATCAAAATTGAAAATAAAAATGAAAATAACAAATTCACAAAATTCATGAAATTATGTTCTGTTGAAAATGATAGTAAAAATGAGAAATAAAAGGTCTCCCATAATAATATTTTTGCGTGTTCTAAAAAACGATATACACTTTGCTTGTTTCTCTTTACTTTACTCATAAATTTAAAATTTTTTTGTTTTTATTAAGTGGCATTCATATCAGTCTTGTTTTTTTCGAGAATGAATAAAACTTCAACATTCTTTTAACAAGACCGACAAATCTAAGATTAATTGAACAGAAATGTAATACTCCAAACTACTGCAACCGGACCGGGCTGTTATTAATATATAACAGTTAAAATTAATCAACAAATTTAAATATTGAATATTTCATGTACCATTATTGAAATATGAAGTCATCTACCGCAGGATAAAATATGCATAACTATTTATTGCTCTATTATTTTTATAAGAAAAATATGTGCCAAATTTCTAATATGTATTTAAATTTCCTGATTAGTTTTTACTCCTTCATAATAGAATTTACAACACAAAACATCATTCCTTTTGTAAATTAATCTCAAATACTCTCTTTTTCTAAATAGGAGATAAACATTAATATGCTCCTTTTATTATTGTACCGCTCCGAATATATATAACATTTTCAGCGAATACTAATACTCTTCACTATGTCATACTAGCATATATAATCAAGGGTTTGAGAGGTATCGTTAAATATACTAAATCGTGATAAAATAATAGATGCGTTTAAGATTATTAAGAACGCATCTATTATTTTATAATATGAATTTTTAAATATATATGTATAAAACTGATTTCATAACACATTAATTTAATTTTATACATATAGTCGAATCTTAAAATAAAAATTCATAAATTTTATACGGGACACACTCTCTTAAACTATATTCTTCTTCTGTATACACAATTTTGTATATGCATAATATAATCACCTATATATTACTGTATGGTATAAAGGAATTTACGAGTACACCTCCCTGATATCTATCTAAAATCTAAAAAGGAGATGTAAACTTAAATTCAATAGCCATTTTTAATAGTTTAAATTATAATTTAATCGACTATTGGGCGAGCCATATAGAAATTAGTTTTGCCTTTGTACGTAGGAAGTTTATCAAGTATAAAACATTATAAAGCTATATACATTAGTATAGAACATTTTATAATTTATTTTTATATGAAATTATAGTAAAAATTGCTTTAAAACATTTTTCAAGGAAAAAATTAAATAAAAATTAATTTCCAATGACAATTATTAAAAAGTTTGTACATCAGAAAGATTTAGAAGCAATTATCGTTTAGAAAATTCAATTTATATAAGCATTATGTATAAAAAATTTTAAAGTGAATATTTTTGTATTTTGGGCAAAATTTTATTTTGAATTAAAGAAAAAATGTCAAAATAAGTTTTTTTTTTCTCACATAAATTAACGTTTTTAATTTGACAGTCAATACTGACATTTAACTCATTTTCAAAAGCATGTATGTATGTATATAAATAATGTCTCCGATTATTTTATAGCTGACACAAAATAGTATTTAAGTTCTTTTAAAATTCTTCCCTCATTTTCTGCTTCAACAACGCACTTTTCGCTTCCTCCAATAAAAACATTATTTTTAAAATATTTAAGAAAAAAAAAATCTAAGGATCTGATAAGGATCTCAAGCCTAATACTTACTAATA